TCTACTACGTAGCTAGGAGCAACAACCCCTATAATTGAGCATATTGTTGGCATTTATTAATTTGTCACTTGTTTTAGTAACCACCTAATGTATGTCTACATCTCTTAACATTACTTTACCTGGTTGTCATTCCTAGTGATGATGCCAGAGATGCTTGTTGGTACTACTTAGCATTACCACTAGAATAATACTAAGTAGTATTTTATTATTTTATGTGACTAGGAAGAATATATATATATATATATATATATATATATGAAAGGGATCTACAAGCACAAAGATAATATGCCATTGTAGCACTTCACCCGAGAGTATTCCAGGTATCGTTATTTATATTTTTACCACAGGAAAGGTCTGGCAAGGACATGTATTAATAACTTATGCTATTGATAGAGAAGTAAACCATAGCCAATATTTTACTCATAATAGGGGTAAGTCAAGAAGTAAATGCATATATGAATAGTGTATAGTAACTAATCATTGATCACTCAGAGTACTCCTTTCTATGGCATTAGCTTGGTTAAGTAGAATATTAAAGGAATAATTCCTAAGTCATTCTTAATTACAAGTCAAAGCATGCATTGATTAGTGCAATTACACTTAGTAATCATGGCTAAGATCAACTTCATATCTACACATAAGGGATATTACTAAGGAAGATTAAGAACAGAGCTTGTCTTCGTAACTAGATTCTACTTGTCCTATATTCGGGGAGTGGACTACAAATGACTCAACGGGAGTGTCACATCCGCGGTCTACCATATGGCCCAGAATATAGGGTGCATCCACAGGTAAACAACATATAAGCACCATGCTTACACAATGTCGACCAATCACCCTGTGTACACCAAAGCGAGCGCTATATGAACTTATGCATGAATATGTTGATAATCCAACTATACTAAGCATATAATCAAAGTAGACGATGAACATGATAATCAGGAACATAAACGATACGAATAATAATGCCATAACAATTATAGCAAACATATAAAAGTAATGAGAGATACAAAAGAGAGAGGGGTATAAAGATTATACCAAACCACGCTCTTGACACTACCAAACCACACTCTTGACACGTTGCTTGCCTCCCTCTAGACCTAGCCTAACTTGCTATGCCCTAGAATATAATGGAGCTCTGAGGATGATTAGGGTTTCTATCTTCTCAAATGACTTATGCCTCAGGGGGGTGGTAGGGGCTGATACATATAGGCCGGAGCATCAATCCTGAGCCCTCAGATCAAACCGACTTGAATAAACAGCATGGATGCAATCCTTAAGGCGGTGGAGAACCGACGTAGCGAAGCAGAGGATGACAAGTGGGACCCTAGACTGGCCGGCCTAAGGGTGGGACCGGTCGGTCCCACCTAGCAGCCTCTCACCCTCCGCTTTGGTGTGGTGTCCTCTGAAACCTTCTAGAGTTGTTTATCCCACGTATAATCGTAATTAAGTCTGACATCTAGGTCCACCTTGACGATTTTTTGGATAAACCCTGCAGCAAATGTAGGCACCAAAACTCATGAAATTTGTTAGTTTAAACCCCTAGACCTTTGTTGGTGATCATATTTATGCCCTTATACATGTTATGTTGACGGTTTATAATGGTTTTAACTACCATCAACACATATGAATACAAGAAGAGCGATCGTACCACTAGAGTAGGGATTAGCGCGCATCATGCCCTGAACCAAAGATAAATCTCTATGTCTCATGTGCTGCCATCTGATTCCGTCTATGCGATCACGTTGCTGGATATTGCCGGAGCAAAACATTCCGACACAAATCAAGCTTTTGTTTTAGGTACCCAAAAAGATTTGAGTCCTAGGGGGTTAGTCACATAAAACTTGGGCACCCAAACACTCCTCATGATCTTCTTCCTCTTATGGGCACCAACATATCTCATGACAATCTTGTCATTCTTGTCCCAACAACACATGTAATCACTAGCATAGCATCGTGGGATTGGTGCTTGTGGCTTGGGGGACTCCGCTTGCTTCTTCTTGTTTGTCTTGTCACTTGTAGGTGCAATCTTGGGAATGTAGACATTGTTTGCCTTGCACAATAGATCATCAAGAGCAACTCCTTTATTGAACTTCACACAAGGCACACCATTATTCATATTCCTTCCATTGGCTTTTCCATCATACCTATTGTAGCCAATGTCTTCCTTGATTGATGGGTGCCTTGATGACTTGTATATGGTCTTGTTGGATTGTTCTTGACACTTGCAACCATCCTTCAAGATCATCTTCAACCTATAAATCTCCTTGTCTTTCTTCTCTATCTCAACAAGGTTGGTTGCATATGCATTTACATTAATTTTATAGCATCTTTTACAGCCATTGCTAGTGGAGACATTAGAGTCTTCGATTGCCTTAGGAGAAGCCAAAGTGCTAGCCCAAAGAGTGTTAAAGTTTAACTCAAGATTTTGGTATTTTTCTTCCAAGCGTGTAAGGCTTTCTTGAGCTATACTTTTCTCATTCTTGAGGCTAGCTATTGTATCATTAACCGAGGAATGTTCTTTAGTTAATTTCCCAATGGTGTTATTGGCTAAAGACAATTATATGGTTAACTTCTCAACCTTCATTCTTTCCGCGGCGATAGATGCTTCAAGTGCAAGGTTTTTGTCTCTCTCTTGAGTGATTATTTCACCTTGCAACTCCAAGCACCTATCTCTCTTCTCTAATTTCTTCATTAGCATTTTTATTTTAGTGAAGGCATTTTTACCAAAATTTCTTATCATGCTTTCCTCAATTTCTTCTATGTTCTCATCACAACTATTATACTCATCGCTAGAAGGAGTGGGTGAGTCATGTACCTTCTCCCCCTTAGCCATGAGGCAAGTTGGAGTGTATTAGTCATTATCGATGAGGTTGGAGAAGAGTCTCGGTGATGAAGCTAGGTTGGGGAAGAGCTTTGGTGGTGAAGCCGAGTTAGGAAAGATCATGGTTGGTGATGAGGAGTGGTGGATGGTGATGTTCGTGGCTCCTTTCTTCTTCTTCTCATCATCATCAGTTCAGTTACTATCATCATTTGACTCCCACTCTTCACCAAGATGAGCTTCACCTCTCTTCTTATTTTTGTTCTTCTTGTCATCATCCTTGTTGTACTTGTTTTTCTTCTTCTCTTTAGGACAATCGGCTATGAAGTGACCAACATCACCATACCCATAGCAAAACCTCTCTTTAAGTAAATTTAAATAAATTTAAACAAAATTTGTACGAAAAAATAGATATTTTCTTATCGGCACCTACGGATAAAAAGGATATATGAGAAATATCATGAGATTTCGGCGAATGCCCCTTCTGCGCCTCCGTGTGGTACCAGTTGAGCTGCCCCAGTCGAAGTGCTTGGCAAGAAGTCGACGAAGGCCGGGTTCTTGATCACGTTCGTGTTGATGCAGGTGCTGAACGGGAAGCTGCTGTCCATCAGCATGCAGACGAGCCGTCGCTGCCGCGCATGCACAAGCACGCGCGCGAGCTGCCGCCGTGCAGGCGAGCCACCGCCGCCGCTGCGCACAGGCGCGTGGGTGAGCCGTCGCTGTGCAAGACCGCGCAGGCGATCAGCTGCCGCCGTCGGTGCACAAGCGCGCGAGCGAGAAGCCGCTAACGTCGGCGCGCGGGCAAGCACCGCCGCCGCTGCCACAGCCGCACAGGCCGAACAGCTGCGCTCGGACTGACCATGGCCACGAGGGCGATCAGAGATGAGAGATAGAGCTGACACGTGGAAAGCCCCGCACCTCATTAAGATCATATTGGCATACTCTCAAAAAAAAGCGTCTTCTCATCTCCCCGCAGCTCGGTAGCCAATTTTTCCCTCCACCAAAAGATACGGCTCTCTTGAGTCTATATTTGCTACACCACCAAACAAAAAACACCAGGAATCCATCCCCGGACCACTTGACTTGTACCTGGAACAGAGAATCAGCCAATGAAAAGCAAGAGAATCTCTTGGTTTTTTATCTACCGATTAAAGGTTTTCGGGCACTGAAAAGATAGTGATTCAGGAGTCAAATCCCCAACAGACATAAGGGTGGTATCCGTGGCATAAAACCCTTTCAACATGCTCCTTTCTTCTTTATCTCCTGGCAATGTGATTTCTAAAGATTTTGTTGTAATTCTTCGAATTCTCGAACAAATCCAATCCAATAGAATAATGTTTTTGAAAATTCGTAAATCATCATCAGTATATTATATTGTTTCAGCTCGGTGGAAACCCCAACTCTTTCCTCGGGATCTCTTGAATGAAATTAGGAACGGTAAGCAGCTTCTCAAGCTCAAGCATTTACTTTTCTAGTTAGAGACCAGCGTCTTGGAGCTAATGCCTTGCAGTAGGATACTGTCTCCTTTAGGTTCTTTATTATCTCCTTCGATGGGAAAAAGACTTCCACCAGTGTATCAGTGGCTTTTCCCCTTCAAGCTGCAGTGATCCAGATCTATTTGGATGAATATGAGACCCAAACAGAGTTTAAGGACCAGAATGACACTCTTTCTGAGTTTGGGAACCGGGATGACACACTCGCACAAGTTCGATGACCGACCATGAACTTTACTCATAAAGAAACATATAAATCAGGAAGAAACATATAAATCAGGAAGCAACATTGACCAAATTTAAAGCTAGGAAGCCTCATCATCGGGAACTAAGAGAGTGTTGGATCAGCAGCTAAAAGATCGTGCAAGGTCAACCAAATTATTACTGTACAGGGGAGTATTACGAGTGGTATCTATAAGTATAAAAGTAAAGCGCTCCATATATTTCAAATTATAACTTATTTTAGTTAATCAATTATAAGCAAAGTTTTTAATCTCCAGATATAGCTGTTTGAAAAAGATTTAGCTATTTTTTTTGATGTACAACTTAGCATTCAGCTGGACCTATAGCCCGCTATAGCTGGCTGTTTACTGTTTTCGGTGATGGATCGCTAAATGGCTTAGTTGGCTATTTAAAACACTGACTATAAATTGTCTTAGTTTTTCTAACTGTTGAGTGAATATCGGTCACACATTATAAGAAGTTGGAACGCTCCGGTCGCAAATGGACAAAAAAAAGAGCGGATAACCAACACGCTTTTGCGGTAAAGAGCGGTAAAGTTTACAAGCAATAACTATTGCGTTTACGTGACGAATTTTAGGCTTCAAAATGTTGTCATTGAGTGAGAACTGAACGGTGCAAACAAAAGGTACTATTCCATGGAGTTGCAAAGGCAAAAAGGAGGCCACGAGCGTGGGTACGTCTGATGGCCAGCGAAGTTGGCTCGCTTGCTTTGCCGACCCAAAAATCACGGAATAACCTGCTCTGCATTTAACAGATGCAGTTTAGCCTGCTCTGCATTTTAGAGAGGCCGTTGGAGTTAGATACAGAGCGAGATACATCGACTGGTTCGGAGTTGCTCTAAAATGGTGAATCATCACTGTGGGCCTTACCAACGGAGCAGGCCCAAATACAAGAGAGCTTTACAGATCTGCTTGCTTTGGAATTACGGAGTATACCGCAATGCCCGTCAGTATAATCTTCCCAGCCAGCCAGCCATAATCGGTACATAAAGTAGTTAGTAACGAGATAGACAAACATATACACAAACTAGAGTAGAAATGTACTAGTAGCTAGCCAGGCGACACATGGATGATGGTTGAGGGATCCAATCGAAGAAACAGATAGACAGGACAGGACAAGGCACAAGGACTCGAAACAACAGATAAGACAACGAAACATACAAAGTACAGACATCTATCCTGATTACACACTGAAAACTACCAACTACGTATAGTTACGGACAGTCTGCGCAGTACGCCCTACTACTACGTCTACTTGACTTCAAGGTACGGTACATTACGGCACGATGGGCACGCATCACATGAGATTACTCCGTACACATCACATAAAACATGTCAGCTAAGCTACCACCGTACCTAGGCGTAGGACATGTACTCGGAGATGGCTTTGGTGCCCTCGGAGTAAAGATGGCAACGGGCCGATACGTACTTGATTCATCAGGGACGGGATACGATCGTATCTTTACTCGTGAAAATTTAAATGGGTAAGAATCTATCCCCGATGGGTATAGCGGGTACGGAAATGTTCCCTGTTTATCCGTCTCTCGTTACCCGTTGGAGAACCCGACTATTTGAGTTGTCATACGAGTATTAGGCCCAAAGAAGCTCAACGTAGGTATTTTGGCCAAAATCTGAACAATCATATATATATATATATAGTTTGTGTGTTCTAGAAACCATAGTTCAATTTTTCTCACCATCTCCGCCAGCAGCACAGGCACGCCTGCCTCACAAACGCTCGTGCCCCTCACTTTCTCAGTTCGGTCTCTCTGCCACCTTTGCTCGTCCTCCTCGCAACCTCGCTCCTTCTTCTCAGCATCTCCGAGACTCCGACACTTATACCCGGGTGAAGAAAAAACGTCTCCGATTGTAAAGCTGCAAAGCTGTAACCCCAAGTGTCCTTGTTTATCAGGTATGCAGTACCCGTCGGGTATCTGTTACCCGACCGATGTCTGACGAGTACGGAGATGAGCAAGAATCTATACCCAACACAGTTAATGAGGACAGTTAATGAGGATGAAAACGGAATAAATTCTCCTTAGCGGCAAAGAGAACGTTGCGACGATACGGTTACATCCCCGTTGCCCTTTACCTCGGAGATGGCGTGTTTGCCCAGGTCCCCGGGGAGCACGAGCCTGACGGCGCTCTGCACGTCGCGGGAGGTGAGCGTCATCCTGCCCGTGGCCTTGGACAGGCGCGCCGCCTCGTCCGCCAGGCGCTCGAACATGTCGGCCATCATCATGTCCAGCACCTGCCCCCGACACCCCGAGGTCCGGGTGCACCTGCTTCAGCACGCGCCACACGTACCGCTTGTACCCTCCGATGCCGCCCATGCCGGCGTCGCCTCCGGAGCTTGCCTGCCCCAGCCGGCGCCGCGCCTTCCGCTTCTTGCCGGCCGCGTCGCCACCACCCGCCTGCTGCTGCGGCTTCGTCTTCGTCGACTTCTTTGGTGTTGCTTTCCTCTCCGACGACACCCGCGGAGTCCCCGGCTGCTGCTGCTCCTCCTCCTCCCCGTCTTGCTGCTTCTGCTGCTTCTTGCTGGCGTCATCCTCCTCCTGCTCCTCGTTGGGATCCTGCGTCTCCTGACTCTGCGGCACGGGTATAGAATCCTCCGGCGGAGCCGGCTGCTTCTCCTCCTCGCGCCGGCCACGGCCTCTCTTGGCGGCGGTGGGCTGCTTCACATTGGAGCCGGTGGCATTGTCGCCGCCGTCCGGTGTAGTGACCTCGACGACGTGCACCACCGTGGAGCCGGAGACGTCCACGGCGGGGAGCGCCATGGCCAGAGCCTCCGGGACCAGCTGCTGCTCCGCCTCCGCCCCATCGGCGTCATCGGCGACAATGACCTCCACGGTCTCCTGCCCCACTTTGGTCTTGACGACGGAGCCCACCACCTTGTTTCCGCGCCGCTTGGGAGCCATTCCTAGTTTCCTACTTGCCTAGCGTAGCTAGCTACCAAATCGATCAGCTTGCAACAACGACACAGTGAGTAGCAGTGAGAGTGAGGAGATGAAGGAAAGGAGATGTCGCGACGAGGGACAGATGAAGAAGCTGGGTGAGCGGAGACTCCTCCCTTTATGCACAGGACGGACGGGAGGGACACGTGAGAGGCGGGCGGGTGGACACGCGGCGCCGCGGCGGTCTGGACGGGCGACGTGGTAACTTGGACCGCCTGGGGCTCAGTGAACAGGCAGGCAGACCGCAGACAGACGAGGTTGCAGCACTGCGTGGTCGTGTCGTCCTCTCATGACCACTCAGTGCTTTTCCAGACGGGCCTCAAACCTCATGGAGAGGAGACACACAGGATAAGAGCAAAGCCGAGAGATCGGGAAGACCACCAGCCACGAGGCTTGAATTTTGAGGAACTCGTCCATCCAAGCGCGCGCGGGCTCTCTGTTCTAATCGAATCACGCCTTCAAGATTTGGTTACGACTTAGTACGACTCAACGGTATACGATCAAAATATGAGAACACTGAGGTTTCAGTTATATATATGAATGAATTATACATTATTAATCAGTTTCTTACAAATCTTTCAGAGAAATGGGCAGGGAGAACCTCTACCTAAAATGTTTCATTAAAATAAAAAAAAAGGTACGTACAAAGTTACAATTAACGCCTTGGGCTCAAACTAAAAAGGTGGAAACAACCAAGGGTAACCGATTTAACACAAACTAAAAAAGAGGAAAACAACCAAAATGCAATCAATTTAACTAACTAGCTTAGCCCGTGTCTTCAAGTTAAAAATCTTAGGAGACATAAGTATTACTTATTGTTTAATATTGTTGATTAACAAAAACTTGCTTATATTAAATTATATATTTTTTTTCTCTTTGCTCATTTTCAAACACAAATATGCATAATAGATATTCTATAGGCTCTAGCTAGTTGCGATAAACTTATCAATTATTGATCTACTATATGTTTATTCATTGCAAATTTTGTATAAAAACACCGTTCAATCATATAATTTGTCGATGCACACCGCAAACTGCGAAATTTTTCTAGTACCATCAAAATCGTGTTTCTTTGACGCTGAATACTACACACGACAAAATAATCTTTTATTTTTTAGAGTTCAAGGGCATAGCCTCGACCATTACATTGACAAGGACCAAAACAACGTTTACAACATTCTTGTTCACCAAAAACTCAGCAGAAAAACTACACTGACTACTAGCTATGCTAAACCATAGAGAAACAGGATACAACTAACCAACTTAACAACCTTCAGCAGAGCCCAATGCCAAAACTTGACTAAGCCAAAACCTTAAAGCCCAATAGCTTGAACCACTTTTCTGACGAGCCCACTTCATCAACATTCTAGGAGACCATCGATTCCAACTTCTCCGACATTTCTCCATCCCAACAATATGCTTTTTGGAACAACAATTTGTCATCTTCACCATTCACCTCTCCTAGCTAGCAATCCTTGCTGGGCTTGTGGCTATAGAGTTCAACGCTTTTAGCTTTGCAAGAAACTCCTGCCTTCTCTCCATAGGGCATAGCAGGGAACCTTCTAACATAACCACTATTTTTCTCAGCAGGGATCTCATATCTTTCCACAACACTTTTTAAAAACATAAATTATTTCTAGTTTCAAAAGCCCCCACAGGGCAGCTGCACAAAACATGAAAGGGTACGAAAGGTCTCCTTTGCCCCCCACTCTATTTATCTTCTTCTTCCTCTCTTTGTTATCCTCTTCCCGTGGCAAGCAAACAGGGAACGTTCTCGTACCCGCTATACCCGTCGGGGATGGATTCTTGCCCATTTAGATGCCTACGGATAAAGATATGATCCTATCCCCATCCTCTAATGGATCAAATACCGATCGGGTATCGGGTATCGGGGCCGTTGCCATCTTTACTCCGAGGGCACCAAAGCCATCTCCGAGTACATGTCCTACGCCTAGGTACGGTGGTAGCTTAGCTGACATGTTTTATGTGATGTGTACGGAGTAATCTCATGTGATGGGTGCCCATCGTGCCGTAATGTACCGTACCTTGAAGTCAAGTAGACGTAGTAGTAGGGCGTACTGCGCAGACTGTACGTAGCTATACGTAGTTGGTAGTTTTCAGTGTGTAATCAGGATAGATGTCTGTACTTTGTATGTTTCGTTGTCTTATCTGTTGTTTCGAGTCCTTGTGCCTTGTCCTGTCCTGCCTATCTGTTTCTTCGATTGGATCCCTCAACCATCATCCATGTGTCGCCTGGCTAGCTACTAGTACATTTCTACTCTAGTTTGTGTACATGTCTGGCTATCTCGTTACTAACTACTTTATGTACCGATTATGGCTGGCTGGCTGGGAAGATTATACTGACGGGCATTGCGGTATACTCCGTAATTCCAAAGCAAGCAGATCTGTGAAGCTCTCTTGTATTTGGGCCTGCTCCGTTGGTAAGGCCCACAGTGATGATTCACCATTTTAGAGCAACTCCGAACCAGTCGATGTATCTCGCTCTGTATCTAACTCCAACGGCCTCTCTAAAATGCAGAGCAGGCTAAACTGCATCTGTTAAATGCAGAGCAGGTTATTCCGTGATTTTTGTGTCGGCAAAGCAAGCGAGCCAACTTCGCTGGCCATCAGACGTACCCACGCTCGTGGCCTCCTTTTTGCCTTTGCAACTCCATGGAATAGTACCTTTTGTTTGCACCGTTCAGTTCTCAGTTCTCACTCAATCACAAAAGCAATGAAGGACGGAACACAGGTGAGGTGACGGCTCTTTGCGTGCGTCTTAACGTCGATCTGTTGCTGAAGGAAAAAAAAAACATACAGGCGACTTGTCTCCTTTTACACACCCTACCGGCTACCAGCACACATTTTGAAGCCTAAAATTCGTCACGTAAACGCAATAGTTATTCCTCGTGGGTTTGCTTTGCTTGTAAACTTTACAGCAAAAGCGTGTTGGTTATCTGCTCTATTATTTTGTCCATTTACGACCTGAGCGTTCCAACTTCTTATAATGTGTGACCGATATTCACTCAACAGTTAGGAAACCTAAGACAATGTATAGTCAGTGTTTTAAATAGCCAGCTAAACCATTTAGCGATCCATCACCAAAAACAGTAAACAGCCGGCTATAGGTCCAGCTGAATGCTAAGTTGTACAAAAAAAAAATAGATAAATCTTTCTCACTATATCTGAAGATTTAAAACTTTGCTTATAATTGATTAACTAAAATAAGTTATAATTTGAAATATATGGAGCGCTTTACTTTTATACTTATAGATACCACTTGTAATACTCCACTGTACAGTAATAATTTGGTTGACCTTGCACGATCTTTTAGCTGCTGATCCAACACCTCTTAGTTCCGATGACGAGGCTTCCTAGCTTTAAATTTGGTCAATGTTGCTTTCTGATTTATATGTTTCTTTTTTTGGCTCTATTCGCTTGAAGGAATTTGGAGGAATCTAGAGAAATTTATGAGAGAAAAACACTGTTTCGAATAAAAAAAAACGGATCAAGTCAGGTTTAAAGACACGCAAACAGGGCCTTTATTTAACTGGCTAGGGAGGGTACAGAAAAGGCAACCATCCTGATGGGAGGGAGAGGGAGCACGACCAGTCGCAGTCCGGACGCTAAACGGCGTGCGATGGGTTTGACCGGTCAACTTCTTGGTCCGCAACCACAGGCACATACGTGTTCACATACGTGTTCTTCCTGCCGACAACTGGCAAGAAGAACGGACGGACAGATGGGATCAAGTAGTAACATGCGTGCGGCTAGGATGCGTCCAGCTGGTCTCAACATCAGTTGGTGATGAGTCTCCTGGTCTGGAGGAAGGACTTGTGCTTGCCCTCGGCCGAGATGAGGTAGTCGAGGAAGGTGGCGAAGTCCGTGTCCATGTACATCCTCGGGTTCTTCTCGTCGTCCACCAGCTCCGGCGCCGGCCCGATCACCCTCTCCGGCGGCAGGCCGTGCAGCGACGCCACGGAGATGCGCGGCCGAGCCGAGTTCACGCGGACCCGGTGCAGCAGGCTCTTGTAACGCCCGTTGCTGTACATCTGCAAGTTAAGCATGCATGCGTATATAATTAATCATCAGCTTCTTCTGATGATCAGTAGTAGGTTATACATGTTCGTCCGCGTACTCGTACCTCGAAGTGGTCTCCGATGTTGACGACGAGTGAGCCGGGGACTGGGTCGACGAGGACCCACGTGTCGGCGTGCCTGACCTCGAGGCCGTTCACCTGGTCCTGCAGGAGGACGGTGAGGAAGCCGTAGTCCGAGTGCGGTGGCATACCCAGCGTGAGATCTGGCTCTGGGCACGCCGGGAAGCAGTTGACCATGAGCATCTGCGACCCGGCGTCGCAATCCGCCAGCATCTCGGCGGCGCCGCCGGAGCGGATCCCTAGCGCCTCCAGCGCCGCCTCCATGAGCTCCCTGAACAGCCGCCGGCTCGACCGCGCGTATGCCGACACCACCTCCCTGCAAAATTAATTTGCGACGAGCATGTAAAAATCACATGCCATGCGTTTCTTAGAAGCTGCTCCAGTGAAACTGTACTTGGACGCGTGAACTCAGTTCAGCCACTTTGCTTTGCCTGGTATTAAAGTTGGCTGATAAACCGGCTGAAACTATTTTATTGTAAAAAAAATACTTAACTAATAAGTCGACTGATAAGTTTAAACGAACAGACCCATCAAATCTAGTGAGTTCTGGCCAGTTGTATAGCACTTGCATACATCAGGCATCATCAGTGGCTGAGACCAAGAGAGGAGAGGGAAGGTGGCGACAATGAAGGTGCGGCGGATTTGATTCGGCTTTATCCTGGCCGGGCGGCGTTTGTCTTTTTGGCGCCGGCCCATGGTGGCATCTGCTCTGGGAATTGGGATATGCATATGTGCCTGTGCCCGCCACTGAGACATTTTTTTTATATGCCTCGTCCCTTTAAGTACAGTACCTGAACTTACGCATCAACACACACCTCACGTACGCACACTACACACTTACACCATCCCAAACGCAAGCCAGATCCTACAACATAGTAGAAACACACGCGGCTAGGAAGTACCCAGAGTTATCAGGCTTCAAGCGTGACGAGCGCGTCATACTAACTATCGTGTGACATCTGCGTACGAGGCAACAGAAAATTATTTACTTGGACGAAGCAAGCGGCCGGCCAGCTCCCACCACGGGAGCTTTGCCACTGCGCTACACGCGCGCCTGCGCCACTGGTTGCGTGCAAAAGATCTGGGTTCAAAAGATCTCCGGGCCTCTAGATTGTGCTGGGTGCAGACGTCTGCAGTAGCTAACGGACCAGCAAGCGTCGGCAAGCTCTGTTTTGCACTGCCCGCAGCAAGGAAAAAATCTACATGTGTTATTGATTGCTTTCACTGCATACTACTAGTATATATGCGCTGAAAGAGACCCAATATCTGTTTCCTGGCTTATGTTGTTATCTGAAAGGGACCCAACATATGCGCATGCATGCACCGGCAGAGTATGCAGCTGCAGGAAGTCACTGTCACTGCTGGTAATGGTAATTCTCAAAATGTTACTGCTTGTTTGTTTGTTGGGCGCGCACTACTACATACCGAAATAAAATAAAAACTGGAAAGGAAACTATTCCATTTGGTCGATGACTCTCTCTCAGTCTCAGGTGAATGAGAGATGAGATTAACAATCACCGTACCGTACCGTACCTGAGGTCAGTGGGCGCGTCTGGCCACGACGGCACGACGGCGGCGAGGTCGTCGCAGCAGACGAGCTTGAGGAAGTCCCGCCAGCAGAGGACGCCGTCGTTGAGCTGGTTGAAGCTGGTGCCGTAGCGCACGGGGGCCCGGATGTCGGCGGACATGTATCGCGCGCGCTCCTGGAAGGGCAGGTCGAAGAAGCGGCGCGCCACGTCCAGCATCCGGCCGCCGCCGTCCACGCCGTGGCCAACCACCTGGAAGAAGCCGTAGTCCCTGCAGGCCGCGTCCAGCTCGGCCAGGGCGGCGGCGCGCTCCGCGGGCACGCGCAGCCGGCCCAGGTCGATGACGGGGAAAATGCAGCTGCTGCTGCGCGGCTGGTCGCCGGGTGCTGGACGGTCGGAGGGCGGCAGGACGTAGCGAGCCGGCAGCTTCGTAATGGTTCCGCGCTCGCACAGGTGGCGCACGCCCTTGAGGAGCAGTTGCTGCTGCTCCTCCTCTTCCGCGTCCTGCTGCTCGTCTGCGTGTGCCTGCTGACGAGCATGAGCATGAGCATGAGCATGACAGGGAGGAGCACTGCTGCTATTATTGTTCTGGGCCAGGTCGACGTCGAGGATTGCCATGTTTGTATGCATGTGTGTGAATCCGATGAGAGTGGCGAGTGCCTGCACTCGATGAACTGAATCTTAGGATTGGGTAGATTGGTTATGGCGCAAACACTTGCCAGCTGGTAGCTAGCTAGCTGCCGTGTACAGAGCGAACGAAGTAATGGAGGAAGAGGAGATGGAGCTTGTATTTATAGGGAGGGCCGGAGGGGAACTGCGCGCGTGGGTTGACGAGGCTTGGAATGGGAGGGACGACTGACCGAAGACAAGATGGCGGAGACCGGACGCCCAGCGCCGGTCCTGAGTTTTTCGAGGCCATGGTCGAGAACTAATATGGAGGCCCATAGTCTACTTTCAAAAAATTATCTATATATATTTTTTATAGATATATATAGTCTCACAAATACACATCAATTTAGATAATATTCAAAGCACCAAAAAAGCTTATATATAATCTCTCAAAGTTAATAAAATGGACATATGTAATAATATATTACTTACTTGGCACTTGACACTATCTAAAGCAATTTCTTCTTACATTTCGAGATGCAAAATCATTGATTATACTATTGATATCGATCTCATCCAACTTCTTCTTCTCGATGCATAAAGTCGCCAAGCCATTTAGCCTTTCTTGAGACATTGTTGACCTCAAATAGTTCTTCAATAATTTTAACTTTGAAAAGCTTCTTTCAGCTGATGCGACCGTCACAGGAACAGTAAATAAGATCCGATAAGCAATGGAAATATTTGGATAACAATCTAACTCTCTGACATGCTTGAAAATCTCCATAGCATACAATGTACCTTCTGGCAATGTGAATTTCAAAATCTTCAATTCAGAAATAAGATCATGTACCTCAACATCGGATGATCCATCAACCAAATTTTTTTTGGCAAATTTAGTGCAGCACTCTTCAAGTTTAGTATCATCTAATGACTTTAGGGCAGTTGAGCTCATTAAGAAACCAAATATATCTTTAAACTCCATGAGTTTATCAAATCTATGATTTAAGGATCTTGCCATATCAACCACAACATTAAAATATTCGACTTCAAAAGCCTTCTCAGCGTCTAGAATTTCTTCTTGGCAATCACTTTCGTCAAATTGTTTCTTCCTCGTACCACAACGTTTTACTGGAAATGATGCCTTTACACCCATGTCAGATGCAATGCCTTTGGCGATAATCAGACTAGAAGAAAACCCTTCATTTCTTATGTCTCAAAGTATTGCTTCATACCTTGTATTTGCTGCAATGTAGAGTCAATGCACATGTCTGGCGACTGCAACTTCTTGCTCACTTTATTCACGGCAAATAAAATATCATTCCAGATAACCATACCAAGTATAAACTCAAATTTTCCAATGGCCTCAAATAAAGTTTTTGCATCACTTTTATCTTTAGCATCAGTCTCAGGATCATGACGTAACTCAGATAAAGCTGCTCTTATCTCAGTAGCTTGATATCTTATTGCTGAAACACTTTTGATTCGACTCTCCCAGCGAGTATTGCACAATGATTTCACAGTTAAACTGGGAACATGTTTTAGCAAAGCATTCCACCTTTTTGTAGAACTAGCAAAAAGCACATATATGCGTTGAACAATACCAAAAAATGACTCAGCTTTACCACATGTTTTGGTTGCCATATCACTTAGAGTAAGATTGAGACTATGACAAGCACATGGCATATACAATGCTCTTGGATTGATATCAGTTAACCTTTTCTGTACTCCTTGGTGTTTTCCTTTCATGTTTGAACCATTGTCATAGCCTTGACCTCTTATATCATCAATATTAAGTCCGAAGGAGTTAATAGCATCAACCATTACATTAAAAAGCCCCAAACCAGATGTATCATCCACCTTCAAGAACCCCAAAAAATATTCCTCAACTTTTATTTGGGCATCAGACAAATTAACACATCGAACTAACAAAGTCATTTGTTCTTGATGACTCACATCAGGGGTGCAATCAAGAATAATGGAAAAATACTTGGCCTCTTTAACAACCTTTATGATAGAGCTTGTGATATCAGCAGCCAAGAGAGAAATCAACTCATTCTAAATTTTATGACTAAGATAATGATAATGAATTTCTTTGTTCTGAATACGTCTGAGGTGATCTTGCATTACAAAATCAAATTCTGCTATCATCTCGGCAGCAGCTAAGAAATTGCCATTACTTGGATTGTAAAGTTGCTCATTGCTTCCTCTAAAAAGCCAAGCTGCGTTTGCCAAGAAATTTCACAATTGCAACTATCCTTATTAAAACTTGCCTCAAACGCGTTTTTCTCCTTTGTGATTTGTTGCTGCAATTCTTTGTCAATTGTTTCCTTTTTCCATGATCTAGCTCTCATTTCATTCCAACTGCTCATATTCCTAATACGCTCAGGACTATTTTCATGCTCTCTAAGCTTCCGACTAATGTGCCTCCAATTACTATAGCCATCATTTGCTAAGCCACTGTCTTCGCTAGACTTGAAGATCTTACAATGAAACAAAATGCTTTGTCAACATTCTTTGAATAAACTAACCATTTTCTATCATGTAACTCTCCGTTGCTTAGTTTTCTAAAATAATGGCCACATGAAAATGTCTTGACTCAAAGATCATGAGGGAATTCAATGTTCTCTTCTCTTATAGGCCCTTCTCAACTAATATGTCTCGTGCCTTATTATCAAGTTTATCCCAATTGCTTGGATCATATATATCCGAAGTGTAAACCGGTCGCTCATCAATACTAGTAGATTGTTCTTGCGCACCCGATGTAGGAACAGTGTTCTCAGGGTCACTTACATTGTTATCACCGACGCCAATGTCAACATTTTCTTCATCATTCTCATTAGTTGCTACATCCACAAAGAACTTCATCGCCAACTCATCGAGATTCGTCCGAAGCAAACTGCCGTACTAGTCTTGAAAAATTTATCAAGAGATCCTCTCGGTGATTCCGCAAATGCCGCAACATTTCTTTTCCGTTTCCTTTTGGAAGCACCCGATTCAAACTTTCTCGATGACATTATATCCAAATCCTAAAATTAAATAAACGATAGACAATTATAGTTTACAATTATAAGGGTATGTAGGCTACAATAAATAAATTAATCATCAATATGTTATGTCAAACCGAAAGCGGTGCTTACCTATGGATGTGATCCTCTCTGTCCTGTGCAGTGGTTTGATACTTTGATCCAGCTTAATCCGTGATGATTGATGAACCCAAGCGGTACCAAAATGGATCGGGGATCACGGATGAGGATGATGGGAATTGGGATCGAAATTGAACGAGCAACATCTGCATCTGCTTCGATCACGGATGAGGACGACACCTCCGCGCCGCACGGGTCAGGTCGTTCGCGAGGTGAATGGAAACTGAAGCGTCGAAGGGCCTCTTCCTTGACTTTTGCTTGCTTCTATATTTAACCAACAGCCCAATAGGCAACACGCAGCAATCAAAAGCCCATGTATATATGTATTATAGACAAAATCGTTTATATATATATACACACACACTAGTACCTACTATATGGGGAGAGGCCCACCAAAATTAGAGGCCAGGGTCGGCCGCACACCCTGCCCACCCCCAGGGCCGGCCCTGCGGACGCCGGGACTAGCTAGCTGCGAGGACTGAGCCAATCGCTGATTTTTCTCTGCTTCACCGATTTACCGTTACTAGCCCCAAAAATATACTCCTACATCGCAACGGGAAATACAATCTTTTACATGGCGCTTGTGCTAGCTACTTTTTTGATCTAGTTGCACTAGGTCCAATCTTAAATCAAATAAATTTAAAGCTCATAATAAATGCTAATAAAATAAAGGATTAATCTCGCACGAGAAGTTGATAGAGGATTAACCTAACTTAAATAGATAGTTGTTGTGTAGTAGTATAAATTTAATAAGGATAGAAGGTGCACCACAACATGAACGGGTTTAGGCGGCCACGCTATGATAGGAGTGGTGCAGTGTTAATAAAAGGTTTCGTAGCTCTAAATTTAAAATGAGAAAGATATGAGTGAAGAACGATATACCAAGAGATGGATGAGTGGGTGGCAGATGGGTGAAAGAGAGTGAAAGACAAAAGAGAAGAATTTTTCGGTTTTTAATATAAAGCTACCAAATATGTGATATGTCTATGTGTTGCAATAGAATGAAGGTTAATTAGTTAATGAACAAGTGACTCGTTTACCCTAAAAGTATGTTATTGTACTTGTTACGATAATGATTGTAGAGTAAAATTCACAGGCGATCCTCAAAGTTAATTGGAGATGTCATCTAGGTCCTCAAAGTCCCAAAATGCATATTTGACTCCATGAAGTTGTAATGGGTCTCATCTAGGTCCAAACAGACATTTACATGACCCGCTATGCTACATGGCATGTCAATTTAGCGTTTACATAGATCTGACAGATAGAACCCACATGTCAATGGTAGTATATTGTTTGGCTCTCTGAAGTTTGTATTAATATTTTGACCATTTTAACAACCTCAAATGACAAAACTCAAAAACTACGAATTTGTAGATCTCATCGAGAGCTATTATTTTCATATGCATAGTATCTTTATTTGACACCATGCAAGAAGAATATGATTTTTCTGCGGCAACAAGCTCTGGTACACGACGCCATACAAAATATATATTTGTTAAGAACAACAATATATCATTTATCATTTTCTCTCTTCCTTATTCCCTATGTCCACTTAGTGAATATTATATTACCGTGCCCTCACAAATGAATGAGGCATATTCCCAATATATGAAACTAGGCTGCTAATGTTCACTCTTACCTAGTCTAGCCTTGTACATAAGGCCAATAGAAATACTCGTTTGCAATCGCCTGATAAGTTGCAATCCCATCGGTCACCTGTCTCCCCACGCACTTCCCCACTTCTGTGGCAGAACCGTCTAATCTAATGTCTTTCAAGAGTACTTATCTTCCATTAGACACTAAGTACTCAAGGGAGAACACTAAATTACGTAGTTCCATCGGGCACACTCCATGGGAGAACCCGAA